AAACATATCTACGCGTAGATCATGATGTTCTGTTAGAATCGCTGAAAACTGTTTTCCAAAATTCGCAGCGGGTAGTGTACAGCATCGATTTCTGTGGAACCCAGTAGCTGTCAAAACTTTCACATTTTTACGAATAACTCGGAAATCGTAAATTTTTCAGGTAAAACGTTTGACACAAACTTAACTTAGATTTTGACGACAAATCTGAAAATGAATGAAAAAAGGGGCGGTTCCATTTAAAAAACCAAAGTTGGTAACTACCACACGTTTATGATACACCCCGTATATTGGAAAGTAATTTTAAAATGTGGACCTTTTAAACATGAAAAACTTTCGTAGGACGTATTTTCTTGTAAAGTTCATAATTACTGAGATATCGCACTTTGACGCACTAATGAGCAACCCTGTATATATATATCCTTATTTTTTTCTGAATTTAACAATATAACTGTTTGTATGTTTATCTCTTCTTTTAACCGTGAAAATTCAAAAGAACATTAAAAATGTGTAGTAGGCTCTGGAAAGAAGAAATTTGATGATGGCAGTTTAGTGATAAAATTATTGTCCATTCTTTTGTAATCAGAATTTAAATAGCGAAAGATATTTACACTTTTTACCAAATGAACTTGAAGACTCACGAGCTGTATGTGAAGATGCCAAAAAATCCCTGGGCGTAAACGGAAGTTAATTTGATCGTTTAATTTAAACGATTCATTATTGTTTTGTGCTTTGTGTGAATATAGTTCTTGTTTCCATAGCCTACTACACATTTTTTATCTTCTCTTGAAGTTTTACGGCAACAAAACGAGAAAAACATATAAACAATCATATCGTTAAATTCAGAAAAAAATAAGGATTTTAAAAGGCCCCCAGCCAACTATGATTACCAATTAAAAAAACATAACTTTATTTTTTATCTTGTAAATCAAGTTGACTATGACAACGAGTGCTAATTTATTGGATTCAACGCAAAAAGTTGTACTAAGGGCCGTTTAAACTTTTTTCTAAGTTAAGCAGTTTATGTAATATGTGATAATTAAAAAAGTGTTGATTTCTTGTCTTTTCAGGAACCAAGTCGGGTACCTAAATTTTGAAAACGCCAATGAGTAGGCAATCAAATTCTGCCCAATTTTGCCCATTTAACGGATTCTCTATCTTTAACAATGTAGAAATTACCCATACAAAGATTCGGAAAATGGCCATAAGGATTAATTATTATTACGAATTACGAATAATACGTGTCTGGCTTGGCATGAGTTCTTCAGATACTCTGCTTGGTGTTTTATACAGAAATATAAAAATTTGTGTAACTGTCGACCTTATATCGAGCTTCCATATTTAAATGTTAAAATTATTTTGTTATACGGCCAATTTTAAGTCAAATGCTTCTTAAAAACTTAATTAATTATTCGCTATAACAGTTACAAACTTAAAAGTAAAATATGACTTGGTTACCTGTATGCAATCGAGTATGTAAGCTCATATTTGACCTATCTGCAAATGTTTTTCCACATTCAGGGCAGGAATATGGTCGCTCCCCTGTATGAACTCTTTGGTGTTGTTTCAGAAGCATTTTTCTGGAAAAGCTTTTTCCACAAGTTGGACAATTGTGTGGTTTTAAACCTGAAATAACAATTAAAATATTTTTCAATTATCATATTATTAGGGGTACTTAAGGACCTTTATTTCATTAGCTTTCATCACCAATATTTCAGCAGGTATTTCAATTGATCTTACACAATCCATCAACTACCTAAATACTAGTTATTATCAGTTAAATCTCTATAGTTTCTGCATATCCATATAAAATTGTGAAAATATCATTGTTTACGTTAGTTTAACGTCTACCCATTATTAACAGTGGCAGTATCTATGCATATTAGTATACAGAACTATACGGTGTGTCCCGACAATAGGATGGACCGAAAAGCCTTGCTATTGGTCTTAAAAATTAGGATTTTTTGTTTTTTCCCCTTTTTTCATAGTCCAGATGTAATAGAAATACCATCGATTTTCTTAGTTTCAATGTAATTTTCGCATTTTTTCGTTTTTAATTCTACATGCAATTATAAGTATTTTATATATCTTACGAGTGAATATTGAAGTTTTAACAAAAAGCAAATTAACAAAAATGTTAGTGTCAAAATACTTAATTCGTCTTGATTAACGGTATTTCTATCTGTGTTTTCGAAGATGTTGCAAAACTCGATTTATTTAGTAAAATTCATAATTTAATTTACGATGTGTTTTAGCAAATCCACCAAGTTTGTATGTTCTAACAAATGTATGTATTTTTTCTAACATTTGGATTTGTTGCATAGTAGATAATTAATCCGATTTATTAAGATAAAACAATTAACTGTTTAATTTTTAAACAGCTTTGACATCGGTGTAGAATACATAGTCAGTTATAATTAAGTGTACACACTTTTACAATAGAACCAAAATCAAAAAATCCTTCAATACGAAAATACAGTGTTGATTCAAGTGAATTTATTGACAAAATTTATTAAAATATTCAAAGCAAGTACATAAACATATAGAAATAGTAGAACCTCTTGCACGTTTTCTTATGTGTAACGAATCGTTTTCGTTTTAGCAATGGCGTTCTTAAGAGCAGGGCATGTGTACAAATATTTGTTAAGAAAAAAAAACACCTTACAGTTTTTCTAAACATAGGAAAAGTGTGGGTTATGTTCCAATTTATTTAGAGGACAAATAATCTCTTGCATTTGTTTGTTCGACCACACGTTTTCGATTTTAAAAAATTAATTCTTAATGAGTGAGTTATACGGATTTATTGAAATAAATTGCTATTTAGTATTAAACAATTAAACTTGAAACTAAACTGAAGCAAATTTTTAAGGCTATACGTTTACCCGTAAGAGCATACGAATTTCCGTGCATTTTTGGCAGTGAATTACAGAAAATCTACTTCATGTATTTGATTCAAATTTGAAAAATTGGATAGATGCTATTCTCTAGAATAGCGGTTCTCAAACTTTTTTGGCGACGGAACCCTTTTAAAGAACCAAATTTTTAACAGAGCCCGAAACCCTCACTAAACTAAAAGTAAAACGGATTTTATATATTGCATAGTGCATTGGTCATTAATAAGCTTGCAAAAAACCGTTTTTTGGAATGAAGTGAAAATTGGTAGGCAGCCATAATCGGCTGCCGCAAGTCTAAATATAGTTTTTTTGAAAATGGCGACGCTTCCGGAAACATCGGAAATCTTGGCGATATCTTGGCTTTTTTAAATGGAAAGTCCCTATTTTGATTTCATATTTGTATTCAGCATTAAATTTTGAGTCCATTTGCCAACACTTATCTGTCATAGTTTTTGACATATGTCACATTTATTGCAAAAAACAGGGATGCAGAGGTTTATTTGCAAAAACATAACTCCTAAATCATATCTATTTTTTATTCAATTTTCAAAGGTTTTGGCCGAAATTTTGCACTGATTCTGCCACTTTTGTTATTCGTGCGTTTGTTGCGGTGTTTCAAAGTTGACAATAAAAAAATGCCTGCATTACGATTTCTGATAAAGAATTCAAATTTACGGATTACTTCTATAGCCAACTACTTGATAAGAAAGCAATAATATTTCTTCCAAAGAATGCCAATAACTCATAAAGGGCTTTAGAGGAACTTACACAATGCTAATAAAAGTGGACTTAAAATTCAATTTTACCTCTATTTTTGGAGTCAGAAAAAGTAGTTGCCATTTGAAAAAGTAAAGTTTTTGTCATTTTTTTTTATTCTCAACTTTGGAAAATCGCAACAGAAGCAAGATAACAAAATTATCAGAATCAACGCAGAATGTCTACTTTTTTAGCAAATCATTTTCGGACTTTGGTTAATTTTTTTACATTATTTTATTTGATCATGTATTCTACTGTAAAAGTCTGAACATCTAATTATGACTCGCCCTGTATAATAAAAATGGTAGTAAACTGCAATTATTGTGTTAAAAAAKATTTTTTGAATMTTATAACTGAKGGCAAATGTTTCATAATACTAATTYWTKCACTATTTCATAATACTAAATTTGAAACTACAAAAACTGATCGTGAATGGCAAATACKCAGAAATTTCGAGTTTAACATTTTTTACGGTTAATCCTCGGCGTGYTTAAGATAAATATCGGAAGATTTGTTTGGCAGAGCATTCCTCGGATAYTCAGGAAGCWCAATTGAAAGMCATCACGTCCGCATTTAGAACTGGCTCYTGAGGCTTGAAACGAATCAAGACGCAATTTGCTTAACATTGGGGCGATTAGGCAAATTTTTACGGTTTAAATATTTAATCACTATAYCAATCAATTCTAGGTGGCAGATACGGTAWCGCAGATTTTCAGRAACGTAAATGTTTYATATTTTATTAWAGTGAAAAGTGTAACATATTATTTATGCTCTTGTTCGTACTACGTTAATTTAAACGGATGAAATTATATAAACATTTTACATCTTACCAACACCACCATTAAAGCCTTGGGCAGAAAATCAAAGCGCATTGCATTGTGAAATTGAAGGATGACTCACTTAATCATTTCAAGCTTGTAGAAGATTTATTGAAAACTAATTCTAAGCAGCATTGGATGATTACTAATCAGTTATTTTTTGATGGGCTTCTCGTTGTCTCGATTTAATTCCACAAGTTATTTTCAGAAGAACGCCTCTTTACGCCAATCTCATTACAACAAAAGATGATATRRAAAATTATTTAAGAAAAGTGACTCATTTAATCTCCGGAAAATAATACTACAATGCTTAAAAGTAATAATKTAAGGTACTTGTTTGAYTTTAGATATCAAACTTTGATTTARGGAAAACAAGAATGCAGAAAACTGAGTGTGAAATGTAATAAAAATATGCGGAAAATTACGGATTTCMAAATATGTTTATTATGTTGTATCTGTATAAAATAAAACTTAATTACCAAWAYTTATGCTCGTATAGCATAGTCGATCGTCCAGGTACATTCTGTATAAGCACGATAATTTCAAAGTATTCAGTGAAAATTTCATTAGCAACTGTGTTTCAAAGGTTAGTCAGTTTTGCCACAATAACTAATTCCTTAAAAGCCTGTAGTATTTTTCTTAATTTACACGGTTTTGGCGCATCAGCGTAAAATAGGCAATTCCTCACAATTATGTTGATTTCTATTGCAAATAATAATATAAATGAAGAAAATTTGTTATAGCTTTAGAAACCTCACTAAATCTAGGAATGCCTAAAAGTTAACGCTTTAAGATGATTTGTAACTTATGCAAGTAGGATTTTCAAATAAAATGAACATAATTTAGTGTAAATATTAATTGCTCACTGTTGGGTGTCTCATAATTTCCGAAAGCAGATCAGTGCTAAAGCCAAATCAGTATTTATAAACAGATGAAGTTATGAGCCAGTAATAATCGAGTTAGCAGTAAAGCTTTCACCATAATTACGCATTTAAAAATTTATTTTCTTTTTAAGAAATTAATTACTAGTTAGTCCTGTTGAAGACAAAACGACCCAAAAGAGTTTTGCAACCGTTAAACAAGTAAAAGTAAAATTATACGGTTCCAAATGTTGTAAAACCCTCAAGAGACGATACTTAACGAATCTTGCGCAATAGTGTTCCTAGAAGTCAGCACGTTTTAGGGGAGAGTATCAAGAAAGCGAGGTGATCAAACTTTTACAATACAATAAAAACAATTAACGATTTGAGAATTTTAACATTATACATAAATTATGTCCATACACTCTGTATAAAAATAACTTGATTGGAAACATCAATATAATAGAATTTTCGGTCTCGTCGAGAAAATAATAATAAGGTTCATTGGGCTTGAAACCGACGGGAGATACCGGCCAATTGAACTAATTGTATTATTAAAAGCATTTTTCATTTAATGGAAGTCTGATTCTTAGTCCTATTTTGTTAACTTTCATTGTTGCAAATTTAGTAATATTCATTTCTTTGAACGGAACAATACCTAATATCAGACGCAACAGATCTTTAGTTTTCTTACAGGGAAATGTTACAACTGAAATACAAGTGTATCAAGCATCGGTTTCACTGAATAAAAAAATCTTATCAACTTAAGTATATTAAGATGGATTATTTGATGAGATTTTCTCTAGAAGTGAATTGTACCGTTAAGAGAAGCTATATAGAAATTTTAAAGCGTTCTTTGTGTTATCTTTATTTGACGTATAACATTTATAATTAGAGAAAAATTTACTGCCATTATTTAAAAATATTTTGTTGTTATATGTTACTCAGAGCGCCAATTTCAAAACTTCAAATGTCTATGAGCAGTGATGTTCCCTAGTTCTAGGGATTTTTCTCAGGTAAAAGAAAAAAGGAATTTGATATTATTATGTAGGAATTTAAACAAAATTTCGTTTCCTATTTTCCGCAAAAAATTAATTCTGGGAAGAAAATAATAATATATCGCCTTACATAAGGCTAACAAGTAGAGAGGAACCACAATTTGTTTTAAGAAATCTCAATTAATTAAGAATCTCCTAAGGTCTTTTTGATTTCCCGGAAATAACCTTTAGTGGGGAGCAAAAATCCTCGAAAATCCGGACACCTGCAGTGAGTGTGAGTTGCAACTGCCCCATCTACATATAAACTTTGTCAAATACCTACATATAAGCTTGAATTTAAAAGGATAAATAAGAATAATACAAATTGAAGCAAAATTATGAGTTCCATTTTTTCACATTTTTTTTATTTTTCAATTTTTTTTTAAACCTAGGAAAAGTAGAAATTTTTTTCTTATTTTATCTGGCATCACTAGCTATGACGAGTTTTTTCTTATTTTGTTCCCAGTTAGTTTGCAGCCATTAGATTTTTAAAATTGTTTCCCTATACTGTACCTCTTGAACTTAACATAAATAATTCTCTATGGTCAATAAGCCGTATGTCTCGGAAATGTCCTTAAATACAAATGAAGCGTCAAAGTTAACACTTGATTTAAAATTTTAAAGCTTCATTTCTTTACTTGAAGCTTTATTTTGTTGACTCAACTTCTTTGTGCCTTACTTTAAATATCAGAAAACGAAAACAATTACAAATTGTCACCGTATATGTTGCTAATTATCGATTACTTTCCCAAGTAAACCATTTCAAAAAGCTGTTTATTTAGCTGATTATGACTGGTTAACACGATCATTTGCAAGTAAAAAAGTGTTAACAACTATTGTAACACAACCTATTTTCGGTTTAAGACATCAGCTTGGTTGGGTTTGGACATCAGTTTATTTCAATGATAGCTGAGGCTACTCGAGTTTTTCGTAAATATTTGATCTACTCACATAAGGAAAATGTTAGCTTTCGAACCAAATAAAGACATGTAATGTGCAAATTGGAACGTGTTATGCCATTAAACTTAATTGCTTAAAAGTGCACACAATATATTGTAGTATTTACATATAACATTTAAAACGCTACGACATGAAAAACGTTGTTAAGAAACTTAAATGAAATTCTTTCAGCTATTGGGAATGTACTCGTCCTGAGTAAAGCTTTTTTTGTAAAATGTAGTTTACGATTTTAAGAGTATATGCAGCGCCATCTGAAACTTCTTCGCACGAATGTTTATTATTCATGTAATGATTTATAGAAATAGTTTCCGGAAAAAAATTGTTGCATTTTTAATAAGAGTTTCAAACTGTAATATAAATTTAAAAAGCTAATTCTTGTTAAATTTGTTTTAACTTTTTCCAGCAGACGCAAAGCAATTGTATTAATGTTCGTTAGTTTATTGCTTTTATTTTTATTTATTATTTAGTTAAAAAAATATTTGAGTACAGTATAATCTAGAATGGATGAAGATAAATATAATGCATTTTTCCATAGAATGGCTGGATTGAAAATTTAGAAATATAATTTTTTTAAGGTGGTTTTTTGTATCTTATCCGTTTAGAGCAAAAGCAACAATTTTTCAATTTTCTCGGGAATAATGTCTATTCGATGACAATCTATATCACTTATTAATATAGGTATCTAGTAAGTTCCTCTTTTTCCATGGTTCCATATTTATATGAATTACTAGGAGGCACAATAGGTAATCACTAAATGTTGTAGCGTTTAGCCGATGTACACGTGAGATATTCGATTAAAGTAATTAAGGCCCATAGAAAAAATTCGATTCTTTGGTGTATAGGTACCGTTAGGTTGAATTCATCATAATCAGGCTAAATGGTCCATCCGGGTATTGTAATTTAGACCTCTACATTTTGGTGTTAATTACAGATCGCACTTTCTTTGAAACTAATATTTTTCATGTTGACCAAAAATATATATATGTTATCTAGGATATGAAATACATACAATTGGAAAATTAAATAGTTTAGAAAATACCTAGAAAATAAGTCTTCGGCTTCAGTTCGTTAATGGAAAATGAAAAAAATCTTGTATTAAATACTCTGTCTATCATTTAGACTGTTAAGCAAGTTAAGTAGCTTTTATCCTGAAAATTTGGCTACTTCTATATCACTAATATATGGTTGATCGATTTATGATATTTTCAACACTGCGACATTACAATTATACCAAAATTTTGCTGCTTCAAACTCAAACATTTTCTGAAAATTTATGTATTGGGTGTCTCCTTTGAAATAACGGAGTAGTTGCAAGGTTTTTTTTTTCAAGCGGTAATGCGGAATTGCTGAAAATATTTTTAATTGTTAGATTTTGAATAATTTTTGAACTAGAGAAATTTTGAGAATAATTTAAATTCCGTTTTTGTATACATCTACGCTGCCATCAACCGTGAGTCAAAAATTCGATAATCTGAATTATGTAGGAAGATAACTAAAGAGCAAATACATACACCAAAATTGAACAGAATTTAAGATCTGGATAAATTATATTGTTGTACCTGTATGAATTCTTAAGTGCATATTGTAGGCTACTCTTTGGTTAAATCTCTTCGGACAGTGCGGACACTCATACTCTTTCCTATCTCTATGAATTTTCAGGTGGCTGCTCAAATATCCTTTGTCGTTAAATGTTTTGCCGCACTCTGGACATTTCGTGGAAAATTCTTTGGTTCCTTCATGAACAGATCTGCGAACAACAAAAATTAAATACATAATTATTTAGATTTTTGCACAAATTTTGCAGTATATAATCAAATTGATTATAAAGAAATAATTTTCTGGTAGAAATTACTTTATTGCGAACCAATAACATTTGGATCATAAAATAGGATAATTTTTCTTAAAAGTCATTTCTATCTTGGTGCCTATAAAAAATAGAGAATCTTCAATTATTTTCACAACTGTATGTAGAAAGAGCATCGAAGAAGTCCATGTTATATTTAATTTTTACGTATTGTATGTTTATTTTAGGCAAGCAAAATCACTTTGTTGGGACACTGTTTGCTCTTTAAGAAAATAATAATATATGTTTCACATAGGTACGTATTATTGCTTTTTAGATGTGTTTGACAACTTTTTTTTATTGTTTTGTTAAGGTGTCTTCTAATATCTGTCTAATATAAATATAATTGCAGGATGCTTGATTTTTCTTGGGATTCGGTCTGTGTATATAAATTTTCTGGTCAAGTTTTTGCATGTCAAGTCAAGTCAATGCATGCTTCAATTAAAACGAAAATGGCCTTTTGAAGCCTCTGCCAAACCATTTAGTGGCAAATTACTTTATCAGTGTCGAACTAAAAGAAGGTGTTAGTAGATTTAATTTTGCGGAGTTTTTAACATTAAACTGCACAACATTGCCTAAACATTTTACCATCCATACTCATTTATTTAATTATCAAATCTCGTTTGGTTATAAAGCTCACACTGATAACGAGTGGACAATTTTGAAACACTATCCATTAGTTATATATAATATATGTATTTTATTTGTTTCCATTATATCTTAATTAAGTGTGAATATATTTTTATTTTAAATGTTACACGGAAACGTATCTAATTTGTGTGATGTTTGATTTTATCAATGTAATTAACTGACTAATTTGGCCATGAATATCAGCCAGTGCGGTAACAATTAGTGCCAAATTAAAGCACATTAAGACTAGTTTAGGCACGGAAGTGTTTAGAAGGTGAAATGATGTGAATGATCGTTAGCATGTACGACCTTGTTTGCTATGTTCACTACTTTGAATATTCTACTAGAATAGATAAAAGTACAAAAATCGGATGCTACTCTGTTAACAAGTATTGCTATTAACTTTTCAGGTAACAAATTGCAGGTACAGAATATTACAGACGCTACTTCTGGCCAATTATTTTTATGATTTTATCATTATGATATAAGTAAATTATTTATTCAATATTTTACAATAACTTATGTAATCGTAAAATATACGTGGATAAAACTAGAGCAGTTATCGAGTGGTACTGTATAGTGCTATACCCACACCCTAATAGTTCAAAATAGTAGTATATCATTCAGTATGGAATCATTTAGTGTAGAAATACGAAAAAAGCAAGAAAAATGAGCAATATCAACAATCTAAAAGAAGCAAAAATAACGTAAACCATTTGAACAAAATTACGGATTATTTTGGTTTACTCGATTTGGGTAATCTTCATGTCTGCTAGGCCATAATGTCGACAATTTTGTATTGTTGATCTGATGGTAAATGAAGAGTCAAAGGAACGTTACCACTTTGGTAATTGAAAAAATAATTTGCAGTGAGGTTCTACTCACAAAACGTACATTAAATTAAGAAATTGAAGCAAATTAAAAACAGAAAATTTTAAAATATGAAAAATGGACCACTTAGAGTGGCCGAAGGTGCAAAAAGCTGACAACTCAAGAACTGAAAAAACTGTTTCAGTAATTTGTTGATTCAAGATGAAATATGAATTTACTACCAACTCGAAAATTGAAAACAAAATTGAGTGCTTTGCTTATTTGTAAAACATAGGTATTATTTGAAGTTATTTTCAAAAACTCACCTATGATATTTGTAGTTTCTCAGCTGACTAAACGACTTTCCACATTGTTCACACTTGAACTGTTTCTTTTTCACATTATTTATATCTTCTCCTTTTGAGTCGTCATTGCTTGAATCACTTGTTGAATTCTCGATGGAGTTATTTTGCTGATTGCTATTAGAATTTTCATTAAAATCCAGCATTCTGTCACTGCAGACTTTGCGTTCGGGAATATTCGAGGGCGCGTCTACAAAACTCTCTGAGATTTCCACTGATTCAAGTGGTGCACAAGTCTGAGTAACAGTTGAATATGTTTTTGGTATATCTAGACTACATATCGAATTGCATTTAGAGGTTTCTTTGCCAATTGATGATTCACTTGAGTAACTACTTTTTTCGATGTTATCTGGCAAGTAATTTCCACCAAATGGTACTAGCTGAGTCAAATGTCTTGAAAATGGAAAATTTGTAAATTTCGGCAACTCTACTCTTTTCTCACAGGCAGTATCTTTTAGACAAACATTTTTATTTGTTGTAGGATCATGTTTCTTTACTGCTAGGCTAGTTCTTATTTCCGTTTCTGTGTCGTTGTTTTGTATTGATTTTTCCTTTGCTACTTCTGAACTATTGAGACGAAGGTGGCGAATGATGTTTTCCAGTCGTTTCGAACTTTCTTTGGTAGGTTCACTTTCCATGTTGTTATTTGGATCTTCATCGTAAGTCTTCTGAATCTAAATATTCAAAAATAATTCAAAATTTAAATTGATGTCACTTACTCATAATGCAGTATTTTTTTAATGAGAAAGAGTATGAGTTGCAGGATTTAGAGCAATTGCGTTGAGTTTTATGTACGATAAAAATTAAATAGTTGTGAGTACTAGTATCTATGTCTTCTAAACCAGAAGAGTAATAAAAAGGTATCCCCGATGCTTTACGAACTAATAGGAAATTTGTTCTTCAGAAAGACACATGTGCGCAAAATGGCAACTTTAAGTGAATTTTAGGAATATATTTAAGCTTGACTTTATGTGGCTTGAAAGTTACTAAGGACGTCCTCGTTTCAAAGTAAAATAATCCATAATCCATCCATAAATCTTTTTGAATTTTATCGCACACGAATGCAATAGTTTTCTCCAACCACTACAACACTTCAGAGATATTTATTGTCAATGTTTGATATTACATTTTTTGCTGTTACTAATCGAAATATCATTGAAATATTTGATTGTTTATTCAGTTCGCAATAAATATAGGAAGATACTTGACCGAAAGGATTTAGAAACTATAAAGTTAATTAACTAGAAACGCATTTCTAGGATATAGATGGATCGAATACATAATTATGTACTTGTTCTAAGGCAAGAAATAAACTAAATTACAAACATATTGATGAACTGGGTTAAACCGTTTTGCTGCTAGGAAACATTTAAAAAACGCGAAAAGAAACAACAAACTGATGTGAGTGTAACGATTGGATGTCACAAATTAATCGGCATTTAACCAATTAAGTAAGAAGAACGCGAAACCGAACTAATTATTCTAATTAAACACACATTCAGGCAGAACGCACGTTTACAAAACTGCGCTGGAAAGTTCGATTAATTAATTGTGCTCACTGAAGAAATAAATTCCAGAATCTTGGCATTACAAATCGTTCGAGTCATTTTTAGTTACCTTAATGAAGAAATTTGACTGATGAATAATGAATAAATTGGTATTTGCGTTATTAGAAAACTTGTTTCGTGTCATCAATGTTATTATGATTTGGTCCGGTCAACGGCGCCAAAATGATTTTTTTTATGTAAGATTACGCAAAAACTCACTTTTTAATTGAGAGCAATCCTTTATAGTTTGGCGACTATTATTTTAAAGCTTACCTCATTTTCTTGTGGTTTTAAACTAACAATTCTCGGATCTTCAAATATTTTCTTCTCTCTTCTCTGGCTCCAAGGGCTTGGCATAACAGCATTGCACATCTTCTTAACGTTTCTTTTAAACATACCAATCTCAATTGGTAGAAGGTCTGGAAGCTTCTTATCCGGTTTCGTCTGTTGGGCTTCAGACTTGGGAATGATCCTGTTATTTTCTGTTGACTTTTTTGCATCTTTAGTTTGACTGTCATCTGGTTTGCTCAAATTATCTTTAACATCTAATCTCAAAATATCTCCATTATTATAATCTGGCTTTTGAATTATATCCAGGGATTTATAAATGTCTTTTATGTGTTGCATATCAATAGCTATCTTCAAAAATTTTGATGCAGCCAGAAAGTCATCTATAGCTTGGCTACAAATCAACGTCCTTCCGGTATAAATGTAATCTAGAATAGTAGACATTATTGATCCACTAACATCAGGCAGGATAATAACAGATGTTGAGTCTGATGGGCATTGCTGAAGTAGTTCCTGTAAGTAAATTGAAACAAAACTAATTTATTGATATCATGCATTAACATTTACGAAAATTACAAAAAAGGCTCTGATTTAAAAAAAAAAATTAAATTGGCAAACCAAAGAAGCATTAAACCTGAGACTCGATAGTGCTCTACAAGTAATCTCTACTTATAAAATCTTTATTAAAAACCAATAATAACCAATGCGCTAACTTAAATTCAATATTATGCAAAATATTCTGAATAGCAGAATGCCACTAGACAATTGTGACGAATTTTTAATTAATATTAAATTATAGAATTTTAGTTTTTTTCAGTTACTTTTCCCATCGAATTTAACTACACTACTGCTGAGTTTAATTGCTGATTGTAAAATTTTATGAGCTTAATAAACTTATTCTCCATATATTTTTTTTATGACAAAATTCTAAATTAAGATGACATATTTTGGTTTTCCTAAATTATCCGTCAATTGGGGGGAAAAGAACTACTCACGTGTTACATTAACAACAATTTTTTAAAGATCATTACTTGGAACAATTGGTCATTCTAAAATGCATTTCATACCTTATTAACATATTTATCAATTACGAATTTTGTCTATTTGATATAACTGTTTATAAGAAAACCAATTACCTTTTCACTACTTTTACGCCATTAATTTGCATTAAATATCAAATTCTTTAATGATTTTGGATTATAAAATCGTTCAGCAAATGCAAATTAGTTGACTGACGCATTTGGGGATATGGTTATATGTATAACATCACATATGTAACATTAGTATTAAATTATAATTAATTTAATTTAATTTTGTTGAAAATGATTATTTTGATGATAACAGAATCAAATTTCATATAAAATGAGCATATATGTATATTATAGTAATAGTTAAAATAAAAACGGGTTAGAATTCGGTGCGTCCGATTAATTAACAAAATGAAAAACACATCTATTTAAAAAAACGTTAATGTTACTTAATTAAGAATTCATGGGCTGTCTACACTCTAACGGTAGAGATTTACTTTCTTAATAACCGTCCTACAACGGGTTTGACAAAGATCAGCAGACTCTTTCGTTTATTTTAATCATTTGCAGATTACGCATGTAATTAACGGACTTTTCCAAACATGATTTAAATAGTAATTCTCAATTTCACTTATTGAATTTCTGCTAAAGGACAATCGATTTTTTTAAATTAATCATCCTCCAGCAACGATTGTTTTCTTTAATTCGGCACTTACCTTAAATACTGGACTAGCGACTGATAGAACGAATTTATGTGCCAATAGACGATGATCGCTGCAACTTAAAATTACATCACAAGTGGATTCAGTAATTAGTAGCCTTAGAGCTCCTTCTTTAATAACAGCTTCCATTGTTTTATCTGAAAAAAAAAACAGTAACAATAATGAAATAAAATCCAGTTTTTATTATGGTTGTTGTAAAAATTAAGTTATTACGTTGGGATGAACTTATTGGAGGTTATATCAGAAGTATTAGGTTAGAAAAGTATCTGGCCAATTGTAAGCCAGCTTACATTTAGGTCAACTAATTAAAAATTCTTCACTGCCAACATGTAATTAACTTATATGCCTTGTATAAAAAGCTTCTTTTGTGCTTAGTGTCAATTAAAATTTAGTACATCCTCACATCTACACGTGAAAAGATGTGAAATCTAATCACACCTCAATATAAAACGAAGAGAATGTACTGTCATCATTATCAGCTTATATTGTCCACAGTGTCCACTACTGGACCAAAGCCTTTCTGAAATGTTGCCATTCTTTCCGGTCCTGTGCCATCAGTATCCAATTTCCAGCGGCCCTCCTTATGTCGTCACTCCATCGTTGTGTCTAATGGTTCTATTTGGGATTCCATCTCGGAGGGTTATTCCAAGAATTGATCTCTTCATATTACGTTGCATGACTTGTATTTTCTGAATGTTATTCTTGATCATTGTTATTGTCTACGAGTCGTATGTTAAAACCGGGAGAACGCATTGGTTAAATACCTTCCTTTTCAAACACCTTGGAAGACTGGATCCGAAAACTGTTCTTAATTTTCCATGAGCTGCCCAGGTTACCTATTCTAAGCTTTACTTAGTTTATTTGAATGGCTCTTCCAATACTTATCCTCCTTAGGCCTCCTTGTCCTATGTTATTGTTGTTAATTTTGTGGGAGTCGACAAGTGCTTTTAATAGGTTCTGTTGGTCTATTGTGTCGAATGCCTTTTTAAAATCTACGAACATTAGCATAAGCGGCTTGTATTGTATTCTATGCACTTTTCGATAAGAGCTTTTACTGTGAGAAGGTAGTCGCTTGTTCCATATTTTGTTCGAAATCGTGCTTGTTCTTTTCAAACGAAAAACTCGAGTTTGTTTGTCAAGCATGTGGTTAAAATATCCGTGTACAATACATGTTACTTATTAGGCTGATCGGTTTATAATTTTTAAGATCTGTGTTATCTCCTTCTTTATGTAAGATAATTGTCCCACTGATATAGTGTTATCCCTTCGAGTAGATATTTGCTCAATAGGATCTTCAGAGATTTAATCAAGCTTAATCTATAATTTTTAATGATTCCTAATACTAGACCTGGTACTTTATTATTTTACATGCTCTTTAGAGCTGCCATGATTTCCGCTTCATCTATCTCAGGTATGTCTTCCTTTCCTTGGTTTAGCAGTTTAGGGATATTGGGATTTAACTCGTTGTTTGGTGTTGAGTATAGTTGTTTGCAAAAAGTTTCGATAGTCGTTATTATGTCTCTTTGGATTGTCATTAAGTCCCCATTTTTGTTTTTGATTTTATGTATTTCCTTCTTCCATATCACGTTTTTCTTTCTTATAGCCTTTAGGCTTCTGTTTTCTTCTATTCTGCTTTTTTCTCTTTTATGTTTTCTCATTTCCTTGGTAATTTCTATGTTGATATTTCTGTACTCTGCCGTCATTTCTCTTCTCTGTTTCATTAATATCTTTGTTCTCTAATTTAGTTTTTGCTCCTGGTTTTCACTTTGGCAGTTATTTCGAATTGCTGCATTCACACTCGCTGTAATATTTTCGTACATTTTGCTCACTGTCATGTGATCGTTTATCGTTAGGAAGTTATTCAGTTGGTCTTCGTACCCAGTTATGTTTTTGGGAGTGTTCTATTTCTTGTAATTTTTATTTAAGATCATGCTGGTTCTTTCTTTCCTTATATTTATTTTTAGTCTTGCTCTTACGATTCGATGATCGCTTCCTGTTGAGGATCTATTTAGTGCATCCACATCACTAACAATATCTCTTCTGTTGCTGCATACGAAGTCTATGACATTTTTAGTTTTACCATCTGGGCTTACCCATGTTCATTTTTTGTTATTGAATTGTTGTTCTTTTGAAAGAAGGTGTTCATCGCATACATATTATTATGATGTAGAAATTCTATTGATGCAGTTCCTCTTTCGTTTCTTTCTCCTAATCCATGTTGTCCTATTTCTCTTTCGGCTTCGTCCATTTTACTTCCAATTCTGGAATTGAAGCCACCAATCAATAAAGTGAAGCGTGTTTTTCCTTCCTGCAGTGCAGTGGATACAATCTGCCAAAAAGTTTCCATACACCAGTAATTTTTTAGTAGGTATTCCTTCTTAGTTTGCTATTTTGTGTCAATTTAATTCCAAAAATATTTCAATTAAATATCGGCACTTTGCTTAAAGTAATAAAATTGAACGTAAAGTTATGTGAAACACTTTATTTTAACAAAAAAATATAAAATGATATTTGGATAGAGAAATTATATAAAAAAGTATCCATACACTTAAAAAAGGCTATTCAGCATAATTTCCCGAGCAGTGCAGCACACCAGTTCACAGTTCATCAAGTTTCACTTGAAACAAATTAATCATATTTCAATTCATATTCAATTAAAAGTCTGTGTTTTTGTAATAGAACAAAAATGAGTAAAACGCATTGCGAAATTCGTCTGTAAAAATAATTGAAGATTTGTGAAAGAAGAAAGAATCCTTTAGAAATGTTGATAAAATAATTGGAAAATCACATGCCACTGTACAGTACGTAGTAAATCAGTACAAATCTACCGGTTCCTATAAAGTGCGGCCTTGCTCTGGTCGTCCCCAGAAGTTAACTGCACGGGAAGAGTCTAGTGTTGTGCGAAAGATTAGACATAATTCTAAAATAAGTGCTCCAAGAATTACAGAAGAAATCACGGAAGAGTTCTCAAAAACTGTGACTCCTCAATCAATAAGAAACCGCTTGCATCGAGCGGGTTACAACGGCCGCGTTGCACGAAGAAAACCTTTAATTTCAGAAAATAAATATAAAAAAACGATTGAAATTGGCCCGGCAACATGTTAACAAAACCAATCAGTTTTGGAAAAGTGTCAGTTTTAGTGGTGAAACAAAGATAAACCTTTTTAGGTCAAATGGGCGGGCTAAAGTAGGTATGGAGGAAAAAAAATAGAGCAGAAAAAATTTAAAATATTAGCCCGACAATAAAAAAAGAAGGAGGTAGTGTTTTATTGTGGGGGTGTATGTCAGCCAATGGAACAGTCAATTTAGTTTTCATAGACGGTATTAGGGACCGACATGCATTTTTAAATATCTTAAGGAATAATTTCCAAGCAAGTGTTCAAAAACTTGGCCTTGGAGGGCGTTATTTATTCCAACAAGATAATGATCCTAAGCATACTGCTAGGCTTGTACGTGAATAGATGTTATATAATGTGCGCCAACAACTTCATACACCACCGCAATCAACGGACATTAAATAGAGTTGAAGCATCGCGTGAGAAAACACCAAGTTAGAAATAAGAATGAGCCCAAAAATAGGATAAGACATTCGACCAGAAGTTACAAGAAAACGTGTATTAAGTCTTCCGAAAAGGCTGTGCCGCCATCATGAATCGTTTAAAATATAATTTTATATTTTATTGATTAACTAAAGGATTCAAATTACTTTCCAATTAATTTTCTTACTTTTAAGGAGCCTGCCACCATTTACTTTTAGAATTTTGCTAATTAAACTTAAATAAAATATGGAAAACTGATATATGAAGATAGCATTTAGCTGAATAATTGTATGTATGACTCGTGAGCTTATTTTTTTGTCTTCTACGATTTGTTTGACGTATTTTTTGTAAACTAAAAATCCAACTCCTCTTACAGCTTTTCCTACGTAAAAGAGAACATTTCCGGAGTTTAGGATGAGTTGATTTTCACCCATCCGTCGAACTTCATTTAGCCCTATTACGTGCCATTTAATGTCCGTAACAGTCTGTAGTCGAATGTACTGTTGTCTCATTAAATTCATATTTTTAAACTTTATAACACAACACAGTAATAGTATACACGAAAAACCGAAATAAAAAATATTTCTTTCAACTTTTCTAATACAGAAACATTTTTAACTCCGTTCTGGGGAAAAGGCTCGATATATTTTATGGCACATGAACAAAAAAATTAAATCTTCAATGTAGGTACAATAACTACGTGTTTAGTATTTCAACACAACTCTAATTTGATTAAAGAGTATATAAACTTATGTAAAGCTTTTTAGGGTTTTCGAATTTTGTCATCACTTGATGTTAATGAATGTACATAAGTACCATATTTTCTATCTTACTTACGTAATATAAAGTGTTCCAAGGTTTTAAAAAGCAATAGGATCCTTAATACAAAACTACCAGTATTAGATAATAAACTAATTGCAATATTCATTTAAAAATGGGGGTTGGTTGTTTTCGTTGCAACGTTTACATGGGATTGTTTCGATTGACGCCTCCATATTTTATACTGAAACACTTGTATGCATTAATAATGTAATCCTTAAATGGGCATCACAGGAAATATATCCTGCATTTTAAATATATAATTTCTAGCTAAATTGAAACCAATATATTTCTCTATGAAAAAATAAGCTTCCTTCTACGGCCAGCACATTCCGACTGCTTTTTATCATCAGTCAGTGCTATGGGCATACACTGAAATAGTGGAAATTCCACAAGAACTGTGCCGAAAGGAATGGGCATTCCTTATTTATAAGTAATGATTATTTGCCGCAAAGATAAATTTTTATCGTTAATTGGTTGTGCAAATAGCTGAGTTATGAAGATTAACAGCTTGCGCATCTAAGCAAATACATCTAAAGCGAAAACCGCTTTCTTTGAATTTACAACTCAACATATTCTCTTACTACGACTACAAAGCCTTCTTGCTTGACCTTAATTTGTCTTAATTTAGCGTACATTTTCATCGTCATAAATTTCTACCAGTTAGGCCCAAGCACAGAATACCCCCCTTGTAATAAAATACATGTTAAGGGGTTGAAGATCATAGTTTTGATTGTATTTAGGAAGATGGAACATTATTAGGAATATTGCACGTTCTAAAACTAACTGGTAAACACGATTTATCGTTAGAGTGGGTAAACCGTATTAGTACTATTTAATACGAAACTTAAGGATTTCCTTTATTCCAAGGAGCTGAGGTGGAGCAAGCCCGCTTAAAACGTGTACATAAAATGTCTTCCAAGTAAAATGGAAAGAACAACTTCGAGCACTAAAGATACAATTGTTTTACTTATTTAGTTGAGATTTTCATATGTGTTCTGAAGTCATGATTTGCTATCAGGTGAAAATTCACCATCAACTTGTTTGGTAATGCAATTTCAGGTCACAAAATATTTGAAA